ACCTGGTTTCCTCATCCCCAAGCAGCAAGGAATTCTGACTCCAGCTCAGGGTCTTTCAAGTGCTCACTCACAGGAATCACCTGAGCTTTGGGACCAGCCCTGGGCCTCCCCTTCATTGCCCCTTAATGGTTCCTAACGGGCTGTGGGTGTGCCGGGTTCTCCCCAGGCCTGTGCTTTGGGGCAGCAGAGGCCGCCCTGCCCCCCAGACAGACAGGTGCCCTGGGCCACAGGACAGGGGCAGACACCCTGTGGGGGCAGGAGCCCAGGAGGACAGGGGCACCCCCACACTCCCACTTCCCTGGGCCTCTGGGTGGGTCCAGGCCTGAGCAGGTGCAGGGGGCAGTGATGAGCTCGGGGTCTGGCTCCCCTCACATCCTGGGCTCAGGCCCTGGCGCCTCTGGCCTCTCCCCTGTGTGCAGGACGCGCTCCCAGAACTGTGGACGCTGCAGACCCAGCCAGACCACGGGAGCCTGGGCCCTCAGCTGCCCCCACAGAAACTCACAGGGACTCGGAGGTTACTGGGTGCGGAGACCCATACCTACTCAGCAAACCCTGAGAACCTCAGGACTCACGTGAGGCTCCAATGTGACTGGAGGGTGGAGAAAGGGTGTGAGACTTGGGGCCAAATAGGCAGGGAGGGAGGGTTCCCAGTCTCTGGCTGTGGCGAGGTGTCTCAGAGGGCACTGAGTGCACAGATTCAAACCAACCACAGCAAACCCTGAAATCTTATTTCAGAAATGAGGTTACTTTGACATGAGGAGTGGGGAACAGAGCAAAGGACTCCAGTGGAGAGAATCAAAGTTGTAGGGAAGATTTGATGGCAGCGTGCATAGGCGATACTCATCTAAGGAGGGGGGACCCTACAGCCCTAAAACATGTTCAGTGCAGTTAATCATTCTTACCTAAAAGCAATAAATTACGGATGTATGAGAAAGAAAACTAGGACTGAGGGAGAGGAAATATCTGCATGTCCATGGATGCCAGAGAGGCATGGGCCGGCGGGAAGAGGTGCGGGTGTTGGGGGGTGTCCCTGTCCTCCTGGGCTCCTGCCCCACCCAGTGTCTGCCCTGTCCTGTGGCCCAGGGCACCTGTCTGTCTAGGTGGGGCAGGGAGTTCTATGATAACTGCAAAAGCTTTGCATGTCTGTACCACCCAGCCCATTTTCCACATGGAAAACAATTTTGATCAACGTTCTATATGATCCCAAAAGAATAAGTAACAGAAGGAAATGACATGGACACATCAACATTTAAAATTTCTGAGCATCTACAGAGACAGTCAGTGGAAGAATCCTATGGAGAACAAAGGAAGAAAATACTTCCAGAACATCTTTTCATGAGGGCTAGGAATGCAGATGGAGAAAGAATCTCTAAAATTAAACAAGAGAAAGGGAAACATAACAGGAAAATTGTGAAAATACTTCTTGAATATTTTCCCCAAAGACATATATAACCAGTGAACAATGACAGGACCCCTGAGCTCTCCTGCGAAGCCGCAGAGGAGTCCGGTGTCCCTCGGGCCACACACACGGACTCCAGGACCTGCTGACCGCAGCACACAGGGGCCTGAGCCAGCCGGACGCAGGGGGTAAGGGAGACACATGTCAGGGCGCTCTGGGGAAGGGAGGGCTCCATTTAGACATGGGAGAGCAAAATAATTGCACAAGATGTCATGAGCTATATAGTGATGATAATGTGAATAACCGAACTCGAATACAAACAACTGGATAAAGCCACAGATCACTAAGGTGTATTATTCTAAGTCCAACCCCTCTGTATCCACCAGGCCTGAGGCCTGTGATGCCCACAGAGACCAGCCCTGCAGCCCCAGGCAGGAGCCGGCCCCTGCAGCCTGCTGTGGACTCAGCAGGAGCCTCATCAGGTCTCACATCCAGCCGCTGGTCACAGGAAAGCAACAGACATTGGGGGACCTCAGAGGCCAGTGGTGCCAGTCTTAGGACCTGGAAGATTTGTAGCTACTCAGTATAGAGTGTGTGTGATGGACCCAGGTGAAGCTGGGGAGGGTGGAGACTGCGTGGATGATCTGGTCAGGGGTGTACAGGGGTGTTATAGACAGAAAGGTGCCTGGCCCATGGGAGGAGGGACAGACCTGCTGGACCTACCTGCTGGTAGGATTCTTGGCCTGGCCTGGGGCACTCCTGCCTTCCACAAACCTCATTTGGTTAACCCAACTGCCCAAAAGGCAGATAACAGAGTGAGACATGAGGCTGCAGCAGATGTGTGGACTCTCCCCCAGGGGCCCTGAGCAGGGAGGACCAGACCCAAAGGCCTCAGCTCCTGACAAACAGGGGCTCTGGGCTCTGAGCTGGAAAGGGAGGGGCACGCCGCCCCCTGGTGGGGGACAGGGGCACTGCAGCTACCTCCCCAGTCACAGACACAAGCAGTCAGGGCTCTGTGCAGGGGCTTTATTGGGGATAAAGGACTCTGCAGTGGGAGCATCAGGGAGCATCAGGGCTCAGTTCTGAGACATGATCTCCTCAATCCAGGGTATGAACGCTGAGACACGAGTAACCACAAAGGGCCTTCCTGTGGGATGGTTTTCTTCGAAAAAGGACAAGATGCCCACCAGTGACCATTTTCTCCTCTTGCGGCAGACCAGGGATCCACCAGAGTCACCCTGTGGGAAGAGAAGGACTTGTCTTCACACTGACAGAGTCCTGGGTGCCCACACCGGACCTCTCTGGGTTGGCAAAATTCCAGAGTGGGCCTGAATCCAAGCCAGAGAAACTGCACTTCTGAGGACGCCCTGCTCTGCACAAAGATGCTGCTGGGAAGGGGAGGGGCGCCCTGGGGTCTGTAAGCAGGGGTCTCCCTACCAGCAAATCCATCTGGGGTGTGCCTCCTCGCCTAGCAGACACATTATCCTAAATGGTGAGCTTTGGTGTTGCCCAATACCAGGACACACTCCCAGGGACAAGGGTGCCTGGATCTGGGGTCAGAAGGATGCCACCAGCATGATGGAGACAGAGTGGGGGCTGGATTGGAGCAGTACTTACAAGGTAGTTGCTGGCACCTTCCATCCCAGCACAGATCATGGCGTAGGGGCTGAAGATGGACCAGAAATGCTTGCAGGTGGCCACGGACAAGAGAGGAACAGTGGCCTGCTGCAGCCGCATAGGGCGAACTGTCCCTGTTCACAGAGGACCAGTGTGGGCCAGGGCCCTCATCCCTAGCCCACCCTGCTGGTGGGCCAGACAGCTCACGCCACAGGCCCTGTCGCCCTCTCTGAATCATGACCAGCCCGGCACTCTGTAGTCCTTAGAACCTCCAAGGGCCTTCGGGTCCCAGCCTGGGTCAGGCTGACTTTGCTCCAAGCTCAGAGAAGAAACAGCCCTTCCTGCACAACCTGGGGTGGCCTCAGCCTACCTGGACCAGGGTGGGCATGAGGGTAGTGCTTCCTCCAAGGAAGGGGACTGGCCTCCTCCTGAGTGGTGACAGGAATGGCCTTCTGTGCTACGCTTACTGGCCACTCTATCCTGGTCAAGAAGGGGCTTAGCCCAGGGGACGAGGCAGGGGACCGGCAGTCAGGGCTCCAGGAGCACAGTCACCTGGGAGGCCCCAGGCGGGGACACCAGCCAGGGCTGGATGCACCTGACCACCCCAGTCATGCCAGCTGGACCCAAAGCTGGACAGCAGGGTGAGTGGGGCAGGGCCCTCTGGGAATGGGCTGTGACTGCAGAACCTGACCGGTCAAGGACATCCCAATGTCGGGCCTCGGGGTTCCCTAGGTTGTCAGTAAGAGGCAGTTGTTGAGATTCAGACACAGCTAGGACACTCTCAAGTTCAGGCAAGCCCACAAAGCAGAGTGCTCTGGTCCTTCCTACTGTTCTGTGTCTTGTGAAGCAAGGGCACAGTCACTCACTATTGAGGTACAGGAACCCCAGGCCCACAATTTTGCACCGGGTTCCAGAAGGGAAGAAGCCACCATCACTTGGCAGGGGAACAGGGGACACTGAGTGATGAAAATGAGCAGGTGAGGCCAGCTTCAGCAGGGCGATGTCACTGTAGAGACTGCGCAAGTTGAACTTCGGGTGTATGAAAACCTATGGGGAAGGACATGGATGAGAGGTGAGAGTGGGCAGTCTGTTCAGGGAACTCAGATGCAGGAAGACCATGAGAAGAACTGAGGCCTTCTTTGGCTCTAGTCTCCCCATTGGAAAGGTCTTCTCTGCTCATGACTACAAACCCGCATCTGCCTTCAGGGTCCCATCAGTGGGTCTGAAATACCTTCGCAATCCTCAGAACTTCAATGTTAGCATTAGAGGAATTTTTATCAAACAGCCCAGTCACAACTCGGTCAGAGGTCCTAGAAGGAGCAGGCCGTAAGGATAGAGGGGAGACCACCACCCTCCCTTTCATTGGCCTTTATGGGTCTCACGTGATATTGCAGTGGGCGGCGGTGATCACCCAGAACCTGTCGATCAGGGAGCCCCCACACAACATGTGTGAGTTAGATGTCTGTAGGAAGAATAGCAGATATATACTGACAGGACTTTGTTCACAACTATTTGGGTTCAGTCCTAATTAGATTGTAACCCATCATGTCCCACTAAAGGCAGACCATGCTCACCACCAGAGACACGTGCCAAGGCCATGCACCAGGACGAGC